TGACTTTGGTTGTATTTGAGCACAGCCATAGCCTTTGGGATCTTTTCTTGGCCAGGAGCCAAAGGGGCCTAATTTTGTCTTCTGTTACCAAAAATACATTCTGTTTCCTCCCAGTCCTGTGCTTAATTCAAGAGAGTAACTAAAAATGCTGGGTAAACTTACATGCTATTTTTATTCCCACCTCCCATGTGCACTCTCTCTTTTTCTTCCAAATGTGGCTTTTCAAAGTCTGTACTTACACATCAGCCCAATTGTTGCAATGGAAAAAATGAAAATGGTCTCTCTCAATAAGATGAACACTTGTTTCTACAGCGTGCCCCTTCTTCACTTGCCCTTCCTGTCTCAAATGCCCACCCAGCTTGTACTCCCAGGATGAGGACCATGTGAAAAAAGGGATCTGGCTTCTGTCCAAAGAAATCAATGATTGTTGGAGACAAATAACGACAAGTATGACTTGTGCTTGAGCCATCAACATGGACTCCAAGGCAGCCCCTTAGACTTTAGAATTATTTATCATCTCAGGAGGCCATCCTCCTTGTCTTAAGAGCTCAGATGGCGTACAAATGACCAACACATAGCATATACTGAGGAAATTGTTTTGAAATGCCAAATGGAGCCTGTATTATGCTGGTAGGTAAGAATGGAAAACCAATAAAGTGGAAAGTAATGGTTTATAGTATAAACTATTCTTTGTGTTTTTACACTGTCAATATTCCTTTAAATAGCCAACTCTCCAAGCACAAGCACAAGTCAGGTATTGTGCTTTACACAAACATGTATTTTATATGTATTTTTAAAGGGTCACTTTACACAAACATGTATTTTTAGAATAATTTTGAGAGCTGCATCTTTGGCAAACAGAGACACGTTGCTGCTCATTGCTCAGCTCTGGCATACAAAAGGGGCTACTCTTCTGCACATCCTTCTTCTCAGCTTCATGGTTGGAGTTCACAGGTTCCAACATGGTGGTAGAGTGAACTGAGTCTGGACCCACCAGGCTGCTCTGAGTAGAAAGGTCTCTGTGGGCAGAGGAGTGGCTCCTGACAGTGGCCCCTCATACCTTCCCTGAACTCTGGGCAATGATCCAGAGTTGCATCTGGCCAAGGGTCTGGGGAGGACTGGTTAGGGTGAAAATTACCTAAAAAGTAGAGAGGACTGGGAAGGTGGTGTTCTGAAGAAGGATGCTGATTCAGATCCTGAAAAGGATCATTTTCCACAGCAGCCTGGTACTTACTTGGCCCTCAGGGATTGTCTCAAATAAGAGTCCTCAGCTGTGGTTGCACAATAAACTCACTTGGGGAGATTTTTTTTAATATTAAAGCTAGGTTACCCCCTTATCCAGAGATGCTAATTCAGGTGTAGGTGGGGTGCTGAGATGAGTATTTTTTAAACACCTTCTCAGGTGATTCTAACATGCATCCACTGAGGACAATTGGTCATTCAACGCCTGACTACACTTCCTGGGACTCCGTCAGAGTGAGACAGGCTTTTGTGTGGAGAAACATGGGAGCAATGCCAATGTGTGTGGTGTTTGGGGAACACATGTGCATCGTGTATATATTGTGTAGATATCTTCACGTGTGTAAAATGTATATTTAAGTGTATTTATTTCAGTTAATATTGTAAAACCTGTTTTAAAACATTGATATTATGGACGAATATTGTATGATTTCATTTATGTGAGATGCTTAGAATAGTCAAATTCATAAAGACAGTAAGTTAGAATAGTGGTTACCAGGGACTGGGGTAAGGAAGGGAATGGAGTGTTGTTGTTTAATGGGTAGAGTTTCATTTGGGAAGGTGAAAAAGTTCTGGAAATGGATGGTGGAGATGATCGCACAACAATGTGAATGTACTTACTGCCACTGAATTGTGCACTTAATAAAAGTTTACATGATTTTTAAGTAGAATTTTAAGATAATGTACTTTTTTGGTGGGTAACTTTTAAGGTTCTGGTTTAACAAGCTTCCATAATGCATATAGCATTGTACAGAATATAGCAGTGTACAGAAACAAATCATTTGTTTCTTGCATTGGATCCCTGAGCAGTAACCTCAGCTTCCTGCCTATGGATTATCCATACCATACCAGGACCAACACTCTGAAATACCCACTCTAAATTTACTGATCCCCAGAACCAACTGAGACATTATACATAGCTTCTCACAAGAGTTCTCATCTATACCTACCATTCCCACCCCTGAGACCCTCTTAGTCTCACAGCTATTTCTTAACTACCCAGAAATTCTTGGAGGCTTTGTCATTTATAGCCCTTATTTGCCACTACAGACAGCTCTGAGTATGTTAGAATGGCATATCAAGGTTTCCTTGTAGTGAAAGGAAGATCAGTGAAGTTGGAGTTTAAGGAGTCTTTGAGTATACTATAAGTGAACATGAAGAATGAGTTAGTACCAATTTTGGCTAATGAGTGGCACTTAAATGACAACAACATAAGTGGCTAAAATAAATCAGCTATTTCTTTTATTCATTCTTTAAAAAATTATGAGGAAACCATTATGAGCCAAGATTTGTCATAGTGTCAATGAGAAGATTCTGAGAAGTCCCAGACCAGTTTGGGAGATCAAATGGGCATTAATCATAGAACATAAGAAAGGCCATAAAAAAGGTAAAAGTATCTATTCTTTTGGTTGCAAGAATAGAAATTCATTAGGAAATTCATTAAGCTTTAAGTAAAATATAATGTAATGGCTCATGGGATAGAAAAGTCCAGGGTAAGTTTGCTTTCAGACACAGCTGAATTCAAGTACACTTCTTAAAAAGTTTCTCCTCTCATCATTTGACTCTCTGTGGTCCTCATTCTGAGGCAGACTCACCTCTTGTGGTGACTAGATTGAAAATTCCATATAAAGAGAACTCTTTTCCTAAAGTTTTGACTAAAATTCTAGGAGTGAGTCTCACTGAGATGAAGGGCCTATCTCTAGAGCTGGGGGGATGGAGAAAAACAGGGAGTTGGCTTTACTCAAACTATATAGACTGATCAGGTGGTGAGGGAGATGTTTTCCAGTGGGAAATAAAATTGCTCTTATTAGAAGAGGAAATGGATCCTGGCCTGACAAGTAATTTTCCTCACCACGGTGTGGAAGTTTAGATGGTGAAGGGGGCTGGTATCCTATAGGAAATCAGAGAAGCCTTCTCAGAAAGACCAGTATTTAAACTGGTCTTTATGAACTTAAAAATGTGTAAGATCTGGTCATGGAAGGAAGGGAAGGGTGAGAGGGAGGGCACACCTAGGGAAGAAACAGCACAAGAAGTATGGATATCAATCAATGATTTTAGATAAGAAGGTTCTATGTGATCAGCCTATTATTGGGTGATAAAGGTTGATCCAGAGAGGACATTAAATTGAACAGGAGAGACCTCTTGAGCCCATCTTAGCAGACCTGCCTTGAGACAGCCTCCATATTTTAGTAATGATAATAAGATTTCTTGAGCAATAATGCAATTTTAAGTGAATTAAATATCAAGTCACAGTCACTCTTGGTCAATGACACAAGTAAAATCCTATAAAAGGTATTCCTCAGGTTGGGGTATAATTTGTGAAGTAAATTTGTTTTTGGTGCTCTTGTGCTTTGCTTTGTTTCATTTTGTCTTTTAATGTATGGTTATATTGGAGAGAACCTCACCCATTATGGGACTTCCAATGGCCTTGTATGAAAAACATAGGTAAAAGAGTTCAAAGTACAGGATAATATAAAACAATACTGAAGTCTTAGAAACAGAGTTTAAATATTTCCTTTTGTTTCACTTTTTTTACTTTAAAAATATAATAGAAGCCCACAAAGAGGATTATTTATGAAAATACAACTCTATGGCCTGCTTCAGCCATCAATGTCAGATCACCTTTTCAAATATAAGTTATTTTCCAGAAAATTCTTTAAAATTCTGAGAGGTTGTGTAATGTTGAATTCTTTCATGGCTCAAATCAGGAATCAAACAATAGCTCTAGGTCTAAAAATGTTTCCAAATCTCTAAGGTTCCCTTACCAAATTTTAAAAATTCATAGCATATCTGCCTTGAACTCCTCAAACTATGGTCATGAGAGAGTAAATTTCCATTTTGTTGTAGACCCCTCCTCTTGGGCTAATTCTACATTGAAGGCAATTTTGACAACCACTGTTATCTAGCCCTTTTCTCAAAAAATGCAAAGAACCAGGAAGCAAAGCCAAAGAAATTTGGAAAACAAAAATAACAGCTAACATTTATTCTTGATTTTTGTCACTACTTCTTTCATGCTTCCTTACTTTTCTCCATATATTAAATATATAATAACCAAATTTTATTAATACACACACAAAGAAAACATGTGTAGCATGTAAGCATGGTAGGTAGTGGGTAAACTAAGTCAGCAGTTGGTTTCTGCAATAGCATTCTATATGGCCTATGGCAGGCTTGTGCCATTCCCAAATAGAAAAATCTCAAATGAAGGGTGACATAAGCCACACTGAGCTAAAAAAAAAAAAAAAAAAAAAAAAGCTAATAACACTGAAGAGTTACTGTTCAAACTAAAGGACAAAGGCTCCTTTTTAAATTTTTAATGAAACTTCACTTTGTTCTTTTTTCCAACAAATGTTTTTAAATTAGTGAAATACCAAAGAAAACATGAGGAAGGGGACACAGGATGGAAACATAAAAAGCATAAATGGAATCCAAGAAGTTCTGTGGTAGACAACTAATAAATTTTCTTGACAAAGAAAAAATGAATAAACTATTTCATCATCTCATATTTCCCTAAAAGGGAAAAACACATAAGTTTTGTGTTGGGATAAGTAGCTAAGGCTTTTGTAGAGGGGGAAAGTGTTATGCGAAAATGAAAGTATCTCTAATGTCCATAGCACATAAAATATCTAAAAGTTACAAAATATTAAAGGACAAGAAGGTAAAAAATTTTAGTGCACATGTTGGCGGAAAGCAGAATTGTGGGATAAATGGTTGTATTACTGAAATAGAACTTGGTATATAAACTCACATTCCTTTCAAATTCAGTTTCTCAGGGGTTTGACTTCAGAGGCCTGAGCACTTTTGACATTATCTTTGTCTTTATTCTTCATTTGGATAAACACAGCTGCTAAAATTATACCTGAAAGAGAAAACTCAGGGTCAAACAGATGGGATCTTAAAATATACTGTCACATTCATTTATAAAGTAGTATCTTGGTAGGAAAAAATGACTCATACAACTTCGTTTTAGTTTGTGGTACAATAAAGTTTCGTTGTCCTGGTGAATAAGAGATTCTAGGCATTGGTTTTCTTAGATAAGTAAGTTTATCACTTATCTTATTGTCAGTAAGTATGTACTAAGTCCTAAGTCATATCTAAGCTAGTGGCTATCGCTGGGTCTCTATCAAGGAATATAGAACTTAATACCTGCACTACTCTGAAAACTAAGTGTGTAAGCATCTGACGATTTCCAAACTTTGTACATGCTCAGTAAATGTTGATTCTAGTCCTTCTCCTTCTCTAGAAAAAATAGTCCAATCAAACAACCAGAAAGCTGTTCAAAGATCTGTTCACCTACCCAAAGCCTACTTTCACTGTCTCCAGTCAAAATATCACATGTTGGGGGTGCTTTCCTCATGACTCCAGTTTGAGTAGACTACCTAACCTTTCATATTTCTCCTATCTTTAAACTCCTAGAAATTACATTGTACATTTTAGCACTAAATGTGTGTTAAAAATCAGAGACCAATATGGAAGAGGGAGCTGTTTTAAGGAAATTGACCTGGCAGTAAGTTCACATCACTAATCATCAGAGAAATGCAAATCAAAACCATAATTAGATATCACTTCACACATCATATAGGTTATTATCAAAAAGACAACAAATAACATGTGTTGGAAAGGATGTGGTGGAAAGGGAATACTCATGCACTGTTGGTAGAATTGTAAACTAGTGCAGGCACTGTAGAAAACAGTAAGGAGTTTCATCAAAAAAGCTAAAAATTTCTACTTCTGGGTATCTATCCAAAGAAGACAAAAACATGAATTCAAAAAGTTGTATGTACTCCTATATTCATTGAAGCATTCATAATAACTAAGATATGGAAGCAACAAAGGTGTGTATCAATAAATGAATGGAAAGAAAAGATGTAATAGACAGATAGATGAGAGAAAGAGAGACAGACAGACAGGCAGACAGACAGAAATATATAGATAGAGCTACTGATATATAGATATATATAGGTATACACACAACACACATACACAATGGAATATTACTTAGCCATTAAAAAAAATGAAATCTTGCCATTTGTGACAATATGAATGGACCTAGACTGTATTATACTAAGTGAAATAAGTCAGCCAGAGAAGGACAAATACGGTGTGATGTCACTTACATGTGGAATCTAATAAACAAACAAAAAAAGTGAACAAACAAGATAGAAACAGTCTCACAGATATAGAGAACAAACTAATGGTTGCCAAAAGGTAGAGGAATGGGTAGAAGAGCAAAAAAGGTGAAGAAGAATAAGAGGTATGAACTTACAACTGTAAAATAAGTCACAGGGATGTAATGTACAGCACCGGGAATATAATAAATAGTATTGTAATAATTTTTCATGGTGCAGATGGTTAATTGATTTATCACAGTGATCACTTTGTAAGGTACATAAATGTTGAATAACTATATCATACACATGAAACTCACATAATATTGTATGTGAACCAAACTTTAAAAAAAGATAAATAAAATAAAGGATATTGCATGGTCTTTATTCTATTGTTATTTTTAAAAGAATCTTGCAATAATCCCAACCCTATTTTGCAAAAAGTAATGATTAAAACTATAAGATCCTATGACTTCTATCTATATCTGCAAATTCATCCAATCTTTAACTTTCAATAAAATTATGGGATTGAATGGTCATACTAGAAAGCTGCTATTTGGTATACAAGCTCAAAAATCCCTTAAGATGGGAAGTCAAATAGAATAAAAAAAGGCATAGTGGTAGAAAAGAGTTTGGTAAGTAATGGAACCTCAAAAAGGTGTGCACCAGACTCTGGTCATCAGAGGGAAATGATGGTCACCATGCACATATTAGGATGGGTAATAGCCATGTGATGAAGGCCCTGCCATATCATAATAATGAGGATTTTGGATGAAAGAGTATAGGAAATGAGAACTCTGTTAGTGCTGTGAATCAGTGTCCAATGTGACAGATTGGGTCATTGCAGAAAAGACAGATGCTGAGAGAATAATTAAGAATACTTAGAATAATCCCAGCCCTTCTTTTAAAAAAGAAAAGATATTAAACTATGTAAACACCTACACTCCAATACACATGAATTGATGAAGTATCTATTTCCAATACTTAACTTGTGGTGAGAACAAAGGTTGAATGAGGGTAAGCACACATTTGAGGCACTGAATTGCTCATAAAAAAGCAGACAGCTAGATTGGGGACTCTGCTATCTAGCCAGGCCAAAGACTAAGGCAAATGAGGCCTTTAATGCAGTGGAATTATTTGGAAGCAATAAAGATTTATGGTCCACAGTCATGGAAATGTACAGAGAAACGTTCTGCAACATTTCAGGTATGTCAACATCTCTGGAAGGCTAACTTGTACCTATTCCAAAAATGATGGACTAGATCATAAGCTCTGTGAGTATAGGTTTTGTTATGTCTTTCCCATTATTATTCCCCATACCAAGCACAGTGCCTGCCTGATAGATAGCAAAGTCACAGCTATTGCATTTCTTTCTCTTTTATCATGTATGCTCAGTAACTAGGCATAAAATACAACCATTTATGCTTTAAAGCTCTGTATATTTCTCAAACTAACCAACAAGGCAATGATGGGTAGAGGGTGGTACTAAAGCAGGATTTCCCAACCAGGTAATCTATATTCTTGGTTATTGCCTCATTTACTATTTGAACAGCCACTAGACCAGTCCATGAAGCAGAACTTAGGTGAACTTATGTTTCTGAAGACCAGCACAGAAATCCTTGAATCTGAGATATTATACTCACCAATGACCAAAAACGTAGCCAGGAGTATGCCAACTGTCATGCCCACAGTGGGCATCCCAGGCTGGCGCCCTGCTGGCTGGAAGCACCGTTCTTCCACACAAGTGCAGAAAGTAACTGAAAAGCAAAACAGTATTTGGTAGGATAAATTTTTAAGCGAACATTTGCAGAACTCCATATCAAAGACTAGAATTCTTTCAAACTACCCATGGTGATAGACATTATCCCAAGTTGCCTACAGCAAAATACCTACCTGGTAAAAAAACAGTCCCTTCCATGGGTGGCCGACCACCATCATTGATGTGAACTGGGATATTATAAACTCTCTCCTCAAAGCCTGTGTGCTTGGTGGAAAGTCTGGCATGAGTTCCTGACAGAAAAGGAGTAAAATGAATGACATGGAACACAACTTCAGACCCCTGGATTTGCAGGGTTAAAGCTCATCTTTATATCATATACTAAGATTAACTGGGAAATGGTTAGGTATAAGTATGAGTTAAACTACCTAAACTTTCCTAAAATATCACCATGTACCTTCCTTCCATAATGTCAAAAAGGGTTAAAGCATTCTTTAAGTTCTCAATTCCTGATTTCTCTGTAAAAATGAATACTGAATACAGTCAATTATCATTATTAACAATAGTTATGTCCTATAAAATTGCCATGAACACTGAATTAGAAAAATAATTTAAAGAAATAATTGCTAAATTTTTCCCAAATTTAACAAAAACTAAATCCTCAATCCAAGAAGATCAGCAAATCTCAGAGAAAATCTTAAAAGCATCCAGAGGAAAAAAGACACATTACATTCAAGAGAACAAAAAAGAAGCAATATAATCCAGAACACAGTGGAGAAATATCTTTAAAGTACTGAAAAAAAAATCTCAATAAATTGAAAAGATTTCCAGTCAAATGTTTTCTGGTCACTATGGAATTAAATTAGAAATCAGTAACCAGAAAGATATAGGAAATACTAAAATATTTGGAAACTAAAAAATACACTTCTAAATAATCCATAGGTCACAAAAGAAACCTAAAGGAAAATTAGAAAGTATTTTGAACTGAGTGAAAATGAAAACACAATACATCTAACTTTGTGGAATGAAGTTAACGTGACACTAAGAGATAAATTTACATCAAATGCCTATGTTAACAAAGAAAAAATTCTTATAGCATAAGAAGAATAAAAGAAATAATAAATATCTGAGCAATGAAATGCAAAACAAAAACACAGTAAAGAAAAATCCATGAAACCAAAATTCTCTTTGAGAATATCAACAAAATTAATAACCTCTAGCAGACTGATCGGGGGAAAAAAAGATACATAATTTTCAATATCAGAATGAGATTATATCACTATATATTCTGCAGATATTAAAAGAATAATAAAATAATATTATATATAACTTGTGCCAATAAATTAGACAAATTAAATGAAATAGACAAATTATATGAAAGATACAAGCTAATAGCTCAACTGAAAAGGAATCCATAACTTGAATAGCCCTGTATCTATTAAAGAAGTTGTATATGTAGAAAAAATTTCCTAGAAAGAAAATCCCAGGTCCAGATGGCTTCACTGGTGAATTCTATCAAACTTTAAGGAAGAAATAAAAAGCAATTTTGCAAAACTCTTCCAGGTAACTGAAGAAGTAGCATACTTCCTAACTCATCCTATTAGGCCAGTATTACTCTGACTTACATCAAAACCAGACAAAGGCACTGTGAGAACAGAAAAATATAGACTGATATGCTTCATGGATATAGGTGAAAAAATTCTTAATTTTTATCATATTAAATCTAACAATAAAAAAATGGTAATATTTCACAACCAAGTAGGCTTTCTCTCAGGAACAGAAGACTAGTTTAAGATCTAGAAGTTAATTGATATAATTCACCAATTAACAGACAAAAAAACAAAACAAAACAAAACAAATCAACCACATAATCATCTAAATAGATGCAGAAAAAGCTCTTGAAAATTTTAGCACTCATTTTTATTTTTAAAAAAGCAAATAAACCTCTCAGCAAGTTAGGAATAGAAAATAAAGTCCTCAATATGGTAAAGGGTATTTATAGAGAACTGTACACCTAATGATGAAAGATGAATGCTTTCTCCTTGAGATCAAGAATAAGCCAAGTTATTTCTGCTCTCACATCCTTCATTAAACATTGTACTGAAGGTTTTAGCCAGTAATAAAGCAAGATGAAGAAATAAAAGGCATTCATATTGGAAAGGAAATAAAATTATTATTACTCACAAACATGATTGTCTATGTATGAAATTTATGGAATCTAAAAAGAGAGAGAACTAATAATGAGGTCATCAATGTTATAGGATACACAATCAATACATAAAAATCAATTATATTCCTATATTACATAAAAACTAAAAAATTTTAAATACCACTTAAAATACCATCAAAAATATAAAATGCTTAGGGAAAATTTTACAAGAACTATACACTTAAAATTAAAACACATTGCTCAGAGAAATTAAGGAAGTCCTAAATAAATGGAAATATCATGTTCATGGGTTAGAAGACTCTATTTTGTTAAGATGTCAATTCTCCCCCAGATTCAGCTATAGATTGATACAATCCCAATTACTATCTCCATAGGCTTTTTTTTTTTTTTGCTACAAATGGATAAGCTAAATTTTAAAATATATGTAGAAATGCAAAAGACCTACAATAGGTGAAATAATCTTGAAATAGAATGAAGTTGGAAAAAATTATACTACTTGATTTCAAGTCTTATTATAGAGCTACGGTAATCAAAACAGTGTAGTATTGGTATAAAGTTAGGCAAAGAGATCAATAAAAAGTAAAAGAAAATCCAGAAATGATCCATATATATGTGGTCAGTTGATTTTTGACAAAGCTGCCAAGACAATTCAATATGAAAAGTATATTTTCAATCAGCAATGTTCAATAGATAGCCATCTTTAAAATAATGAACCTTGACCTTTACCATGCACCATATACACAAATTAACTTGAAATATATCATAAAACTAAATGCAAAGCTAAAACTATAAAACACTTGGGGAAAAAAGTGGAAAATTTTAAGTGACCATGAGTTTGGCCAAAATTTCTTAAACATCACACACAAAAAAGTCACAAATTATGTAAGAAAAACGTAAGTCAGATATCATGAAAATTTTTTAATTTGCTCTTCAAAAGACTGTTACAAAATGAAAATTCAAGCCACAGACTAGGAGAAAATATTTATAAACATGTATCTGACAGTGAACTTGTATCAAGACTATACAAAGAATACTTATGACTCAACAATACAAGCCAAAGAGGCAATTTTTTTTAAATGGCACAATATTTGACTAGACACTTCACCAAAAAAGATATATGAATGGAAAATGAGCACATGTAAAGATTCTCAACACCTTTACTTACTAGAGAACTATAAATTAAAATCATTATGAAATACTACTACATACCCACAGGAATGGCTAAAATTGAAAAGACTGAGCATAGTGAGTATTGAGGAAAATGTTGAGCAACTAGAATTTTCATATGCTGGTGAGAATGTAAAATGTTACAAATGATCTGGAAAGCGATTTGACATTTTCTTAAAAATTTAACCATTTTCTAAAAATTTAACCATAAACTAACATATGATCCAGCCATTCTACTTCTATATATTTAACGAAGAAAATGAAAGCATATGCTCAAACAAAATATTTGTTCAGTGAATGTTCACAGCAGCTTTATATGTAATAGCAAAACTTGGAAGCAACCTAAATGACAATAAATAAGTGAATGGATAGCAAATTGTGATATAGTCATATAATGGAATGCTACTCCACCATAAAAAGAGATGAAGAATTGATACACACAACAACATGGATAAAACCCAAAATAAGTATGCTAAGTGAAATTAGCCAGACAAAAAAAAGTGTGTATTCTATTATTTTGTTTTGATAAAATTCTTGAAAATGCAAACTAACCTGTAGCACACAGAAAGCAGATCAGTGGTTACCTTATAGGGTAAGGGCAGGGTGAGCTGAAAATAGGAATTGCAACAAAACATAAAAAATTTTGATGGTGGTGAAAATATTCTTATATTGATTGTGTTGATGGCTTCAATAGTGTATACACATATAAATTTTAACAAATATGTGCTATTTATTGTATGTCAATTATACTTCTATAGAGCTGTTTTTAAAAAGCATTATGATATTTGCTTCTTGGCTGCCATTGGAAATTTTGCAATTGCTACTCATATTGTTCAGCTGAGGGGGATGCTGTATGTTAACAATCTTTCCTTTTTTCAAAGCCGAGGGCTTTTTCCTCTATGGAGAACTTCCCTCTGCAAGTTCCCAGAGCATGAACTGCCTTCCTGGAGCATGGAAGAAAGCCTTGTTTTGAATGCTGCAAGCACACCTAGGCTAATAAAAACTAATTTCACCATACATCCATTTTTTTGATGTACTTTTGACAACTTACCATTGATTTTGGAAACTTCCCAGTCTTTTTGTAAGCTTTCACTGCTAAGGGAAAATGTAAATTGGAGACCTCGAAATGACTGCTGATCATCATCGGTGGCCTCGAAAATGACACTTCCAGGTTTTCTGAGGGGATAGCAGAAGAATAAGCCTGTGTACTCCTTAACTAGCTTTGGGGGATTGTCATTCACATCAGTAAGAGTCAGGTGGAAATTCGCTGTGGAGCTCATGGAGGATCCACCTAAGGAATTAAGTGATTGAAACATGGTATCAACTCTCTCATTTCCTCTTAATAAGAAAGGAAATTTTCTTTTTTTTTTTAAAAAAAAATTATAATTTAAGTAGCTGAATATACTGAGGTAGTAGGAAGATAACAAAATTTTATAATCAGACCTGGTTTAATTTCCTGGTTAAAAAGTCTTAATAATTATGACGATGATAATAATAATAATAACAATTAAGGTTTATGTGCTAATATTTTCTATACATCACTTCAAATAAACTTTGATTTACTTTTACAGATGAGGATGAGAGAAGTGTGACTTGCCCAAGGTCACACAACAAGAGAGGCTTCTGACCCAGGAGGTCTGACCTTAGAACCTACACCCTAAATTGCTCCTCAATACTGAGGCATTTTCATTAAGTTTTCTAAGCTTAATTTCTTCAGTCGTAAAACAATTGGCTTTGTGAGGATCCCACATGTAGTGTTCTTAGAAAATAGCAAAAGGCTACAGAATAGTTCTTTACTATGGCACAGTGGTGAGCAAGCTACTTAACTGTTCGGTGCCTTGGTTTTCTCATCCATAAAATAAAGTCAATAATTATACCTACCCCATAGTGTTGTATGAGGAGTAAATTTTTACACTGAGTGCTTAAAATAGGGCTGTTAGTGCAACATGAATGCTGTCTACTCTCTTTCTCTCTGACCTCTATCACAGATACTATTTTTGCAATTTCTGCCTCCTACCGGCTTCAATTCTAGTAAACCCTGTTTTCTTGCTTTTCTTTTCAACTGTCTTCTATGTTCCTGACAACACTTAACCAAAGTAGGAAAAGCCACTGTGCTCCTGAGGTCATTTTACCTATTTGCATAATTTCAGGGTTAACAACTGCAAATGGAGCAGGGTTCTGAACTCTGGTTTTGGTTTATGAAACAACTAAATGTGAGAGGCCCTTAGGACACATCCAAAGTGAAGTGTTGACCTCCACAGTATATTGCAGTGGAATGCACAGCATGAAGGCCCAGCCAGAACATTCCTCCTGATTAATCGGGAGCTTTTAAATCAATAGTTAAATGTATACAATGTGATAGTGGAATGTGCTTAACTAGAAGCAATCAAGAAAGAGAGTCAGGGCCTCACCCACTTTGGCTAACCTGTCCACTCATATGTTCGTTGCAAATTCAACACACATTTCCTCATTTCTACCCTCATTGGTTTCACCTGACTACAGTATTTTTGTTTTTATTAATCTTTTCACAAGCAGGGAACATTTTTATGATTCTCATCTATTGGAATGTTCCCTATTCCAGCTCTCAACTCGGCCTCACATTTTAAAAGTTTATTTTTAGTCTAAAACTCTATTTCTTTAGTCATAATTTGTTCAATTCTCATTTTTTGGTAAACCAGGCAGATATATTTACTATCTAACTAGAGGCTCTAATCAGGATAAGATCAATGGAATTCCTATTCTAAGTTGGAGAATTCGGTTTAAATGACAAGAACCATCCTTACTATTTCTGTGAGTTTATTTTTATTTTAATTTTTTAAAGTCCCTGGAACTCCACACTCAGAACCAGTGGGTAATATAAATCACCACAACTGAATTAAATGAGTTGTAAAGATTACATCAGGACAATTCAAACATTCTTGGCTTATCTAAATATTGTCTTTCCTTTTCAAAGTTCACTCTATTTCATCAAAACAGATATCCAGGGCCACCCAAACCCGTAAATCAGAAACTCCAGGAGTAACTAGGGTCCATACTGAATAAGCTCCCCAGGCAATTCTGGCACATATCAAAATCGAGAACATTGCATATAACATTTTGTTTCAAGAAAGACAAAACCTGAGGTGCTACAATTTAAGACCGAAGGAGCAAGTAATGGTCTAGGTGAGCAGGGCAGTAGTTTGACCCTGCTCTCAGGAGAAACCTCCAACCATTTTGGAGAAGGCAGTAGTTTGGTGGGCACACAGGAACCTTCCTAGAGCTGCAGTCCCTATAGGAAACCACAGAGTGAGCAGTATCCACGAAGCCGAGCCAGCTTGCAGGTGCAACCTTGCCTGCAGGAGCCCTGCTTGGGGAACGTGTGGTTCTCATCTTGAACAAAACAAAGAAGCACTTTCTTCCACTCCTGTACCCTCTTGTTCTTCCACTATAAGATTTGACCCAGTGAACCTTCCCACTCACCTTCCCCTCTCTTCCATTTCTATTGATGTATCCCCTAATAATTTATGTTACTTTTTTTTGCTCACCTACTTCAGTTGCCACCACTTGTACCCGATACAGACTTTCAGCTTCCCTGTCCAGCGGAGCCACACTAAATATCTCTCCAGTGACAGGGTCAATTTTAAGCCAACCTCTCGTGTCACCTCTCAGTGAATAACTTCATAAGGTGAAAAGAACAAAAGAAAGCCCACATTATTCTGCATGAAAATGTGAAGATAGTTTATGCATCACTATATCAGCACTATCCCTTGCATATTATTTACAGCATAAAAGATCATTATTTAGTATTATTAATGTTTTATTTGCATAACATCTATCTTCAAAAGGAGGACTATCTTTACAGAGTGGTAGCTGTACTTGTTTTATTAGAAAAAGTATAGTCACAAACTCTAGGGGAAAAAGTTAAACTTTTCTGGCAATCAAAGAATTTCAATGAAAACAACCTGGAAATATCTTTTAAAACTTATTAGCAACCCACCCCTCTAAGAAAACTTGAACAACCGTTGTGTGAATGAATGGATATTCTGAGGTTGCTGGTGGCTCAGTGAATTCTCTCATGCAACAAACATCTATTGAGTGCTCAACAAATATCAGGCAGTGGACCAAGAGAGGAGATTGCAAAAGGGGGCTCTTAGGCCCATGGAGGAGTCTGATACAGAAATGATAATTTCAATAAAATGTGGTGAATACCATGGAAGGGGCCTCATGGAATCCCAGAAAAGTTCACAGAAATAAGAGCAGTCTTCCTGAAAGAGTAGATGTTAATTTAACTAAGGTCAGAAAAAGGAGGTGGCTTCAAGCAGGAGATGCATAAGCTAAGGCTGAGAGGCTGAGGATGAGCTTGCAGGTGTAGGGGAGTCAGACTTTCCAGCAGTGTTGGGAATAAATGGGAAGCAGTGAATGGGAACGATGAAGTCCCAGAGACTGGAAAGAGCCAAATCATGAGAAGAAGTTAGCAGCCATGGAATGATATTAAGCAGGAAGGTGCCCTAGTCAGTTTTGTGTTTTCAGTGGAACTCATTGGCAGGTGTGTGAAAGATGAATTTGCGAGAGACAAGACTAGAACCACATGAAAAAACAATTGAAAAGGCCTTTTTTGAAACAACACATCATAGTCATAAGGATGTCCATATCTTTAGGCCAAAGAATTTCACCTCCGGAAATTTTCCCCACACAAAAACAATTTAATAGAAGTTACAGGAGAATCACAGGTATACATATAGTCAAAATATTTTATATAATAAATACTGAAAACAACATACATGTGCAGGAAGAAGGTGATGATTAAAAAGTTATGATGTATTAATTCATCAAATTAATTTTTCCCAATGTTAGTATATTCTATATGCCAAGTGCTATATTAGGCATGTGTACAGGTGATGAACAAGAAATTCTGTGTAATCAGAATTTCATCCTGAGTGAGATGAGAACCCTTCAGAGGATTTTCAGAGGAGTCATATGATCTGATTTGCTTTTTTAAAGGACCACTCTGTGGCGAATAGATTTAGGGTGAGGTGGAAGAGTGGCACAGGGGCAAGGATGAATCCAGAAAAGAGATGTAGCCTGAACCATGGCAGAAGTGGTGATAAGCACTTGTATTCTGGATGTATTTCAATGAAAAACATCTCTAATATTTGCTGGTGAATTAGATTAGGATCCATTGGTTGCTGATGGATTATAAGTTTACAAAGCTGAGAGAAAGAGAACAATTAACTTACTCAGGCCAAAAACTTTGGAATCATCTCCATTTTTAACTAATGTATTACTAGCATCTGAACTACTAATTGTTCCTCATTCTTAAAGCGCTTTCTTCATTTGGACTTCTCTTACAGGGCACTTCCCTTTTCAGACTTCTTCCTCATCTTCTCAATCTCAACTTAATAGTGTATATATATATCTTTTCTTTGATCTATCTGAGAAATTCTCTTAAATGCCTTTGTTTTCTTCACTCATAACTCAAATTTTTATTCACTTATCTTTGACTAATGACAAGTCAAATGCTATTTTTAATAGCATTGTCGCAAAGGAGGAAGAAACATTTATTAAACATAAATGGTTATAAAATTATAAACATTTGTGCCCCATCATAATTGGTGGCTCTAATGTAGCATATCTACACTAAACCACACAGTAAGTCTCCCATGGTTTTTCCTCTCTTATGTTTGTCTTTATAAAACTAGAGAAGTAAACAAAAAGAGTTAAACAGTAGGTAAGAACTTTACTCTTTAACAATCAGAAAAAGGTCTTAGCACTGATTCCAAGTACCTAAATGACAGCTCATTGGAGGCAAGATTCCCCTCAAATGTTTAGAGAAACTTAAGGAATTACCATTCCTAACCACATACATTGTTTTAAATCATGCTGAAATAGTTGCCATGCCTTAGACAGTAGGGCTAATGTTATACAATAGACGCAAAAGATGTGGGTTCAAGTCTTACTATGTGCTCATTAACTATGTGATTCTACAGAGGTTAGAAATATTGACAGATATAGATATATACATGTATGTATGTGTATATATATATATACATATATGTATATATTTGGGGCAAATTAATTATCATTGTACTTTTTAAGAAAAATCTGTGTTGGTCCTATTGTACTGGAAGAAAAATGATTGAGAATTGCTAAAGTGGAAATATTAATACATTTTGTTTAATCACCTCAGCCTGAGCATGAGCCTCCCCAGGGGTGGGCCCTGGAATGAGTCTTGTTGCCCCAGACCTACTCTCTGGAATACCAAGGGACCTACCTATATACTCTACATTCAGAAGATTCCCTTATCCCTGCCGAGTCTGCCCAGTTGGGCTTTTGCTTCATTCTCTGTTTAGAACTCCAGTCTGCCTTAGAGTTGGGCTGGAACTCTTCTCCAAACCCCAGCCCCTGCCTGGGACTGTTTCAGACACAAGGAGGTCTCTAGATCCCATCTCCTGAATTCATCAGCTCTCAGTAGAACCTGTAGTGAGTGGGCCAGAATGGAATCTAACATGCTTACAACTTGCCTGAGCCTGAATCTCCCCACCCTCTACCCACACCACCCTTCCATCACCATCTTCCACCTCTACCGTCAAGAACCAAGGAACTGCTGCCTGCAAGAATCAAGGTCAAGTTCACCATGTGTACTGGCATTGAGTTTCAGACCACTGGCTGCTCTCTTAGAGGAGAACCCTGGAGTCAAGCCAGCTCCTCTGCCCCTCCCAGCCCTTCCTCCTCCCCACAGGCCTTGGTCACTGCACAGCCAGGCCTGCCCAGCCCTCTCTCTTCTACCTTATATCCAGACCTTCCGGATCTTTGGCAGTCACGTTGCCCACTTTTGTGCCTACAGCCACACCTTCACTGACTTTTGCTTGGAATACTTGTTGGGAAAATTGGGGTGCTTCATCCACATTTGTTACAAAAAGACTGAACGTGGCAAAAGATCTGGCATCATACTCTACACCAGGCACCAGAGGCTCAGGATTTTCCGCATGGAACAAAATGTTGTGAATGAATGCTGTTTCAAAATCAAGAGGCTGTGTAAGGCAAAAAAGAGATACAATTAATTTGGGGATGACAGCTCCCTTAAAAGATTTATTCCCTAGACTCCTTTAAAAAACTCTTTTACAAAGCAACAGTTCTCAATTCAGTGTCAACAAAAACCTACTTTCCAGAATAGTAATAGAACCATGAAAAAGTCTGTGCTGCAGGATTTACCAGAGCTTTTAACATGCTAATATGCTTTTGACTCTCCTAGAAGAGGAAAAAAATGCAGCACTCCTGAAATTTATTTAACCCTGGAATAGTTCATTAAACAGAAATTTATTGATTCTCTCAAAAATAAAGGTCAGAATTAAGATAATGCTGAACATTTAAGTTTATCATCTGTTGGGTGCTATGTTAAGAGCGATATACATATTTTCACATTTACTCTTCCAACATCCTTATGAAGAAGTTGCTATTATTTCACCCATTTTTATAGATCAGAAAACTGAAGCCTGAGAGGTTACATCATTTGGTCAAGGTTATAGAGCTAGTAAGGACATCACCAAGCCTCAACAGAAATAATTTCCTGAGAGAAGCAAGAGCCTGGAGTCAAGTTTTCAGCTCTGCCATCACTGGGGTACCTGACCATATCTTGCTGTGGGCCTGAACCTCATCCATAGAGTGGGACCTATTCCTTATTCCTCAGAATCAATGTGAAAAGCAAAGGAGAGCATCTGCAGAAGTGCTTCATAAAGTGAAATGGGCTACCTTTGTGGGGTATGGGCTTCTTGGTGAATTTTACAAATTACACATTTGTAATTCAGATGAGCAGTTGCTGACAGAATTGTGATTAAGAGACTTGGTTTATAGCCATGAGACCAACGCATAGGCAACAAAAGCAAAAATATACCAGTGAGACTATATCAAACTAAAAAGTTTCTGCACAATAAAGAAAAGAATCAGCAGCATGAAAAGGCAACGTAGGAATGGGGGAAAAAAATTTGCAAATCACATATCTGATAAGGGGCTAATACCCAAAGTATATAAGATATTCCTACAATTTAATGGCAAAAAATAAATAACCTGATTTTAAAATGAGCAAAAGACTTGAATATAAATTTATTTTTTCCAAAGAAGACAAACAACAAGCCTACAAGTATATTAAAAGATGCTCAACATCACTAATCGTCAGAGAAATGCAAAAAAAAAACCCCACACCTGTTAGGATGACCATTATAATTTTTTTTAAAAGAAAGAAATAACAAGTATTGGTAGAGAAATTGAAACCCTTGTGTACTGTTGGTGGGAATGAAAAATGGTGCAACAGACATGGAAAACAGCATGGGGGTTTCTCAGAAAATTAAAACTAGAACTACTCTATGATCCAGCAATCCTTTTTCTGTGTGTTTATGCAAAAGAATTGAAAACAATATTTTTACTCTCATGTTTATTGCAGCATTATTCACAATTGCAACCAAAATGTCCACTGACACAAGAAAGGGTAAAGAAAATGTGACGTATACATACAATAGAAACTTGTGTAGCCTAAAAAAAAAAAAAAAGAAATCTTGTCATATCCTACAACACAGGAAAACCTTGAGGACATTATGCTAATTGAAATAAGCTAGTCACAGAAGAACAAATATTGTGTGACTCCACTTAAGGTTCATAGAGCAGTCAAAAGCATAGAAACAGAAAGTAGAATGGTGGTTGCCAGGAGCTGGAGGGAGGATAAAATGGAGAGTTGTTTATTCAAAGGGCGTAGAGTTTTTATTCATGCAAGATGAAAGAGTTCTGGAGATCTGCTATGCAACAATGTACATATAGTTAACAATACTGTAAATTTTATATTATTTTTTTTACTACAATTTAAAAGCATACCTTAGTTTAAACACTTAAATGATTAACATGATAATTTAGAAGCAACAGTATTCCCCTGATAGCTTAATGAATAGGGAATTAAAAGTAAGCCTAAGTCATACACAAGAAACCATATTATAAGTCTAATTTATTTAAAACACTAAAAACAATATAAATACACACATCTTTCGTAGTAAATACACACATCCTAGGGGCAATTGGCTAACATTTGGTGTAACCTAATGAAGAATCCATACCTCAGGGGTGGTTGTTGCTTAGTATTTGAAAGATCTTACTCAGAGATCCCTCTCCAGAGGCAGCTACTACAGGCCTTGAGCTAGCACTATATAAAGCAGCACTAGAAAGTTTGTTAACTGGCAAAGTGATCTTACAAAGAGATATTGTGATATTAGTGGTATTCAAGACATGCAGTTTGGTTAAAAATATAGTATATCACTAGGTCATCACATGAACAAGAGTGTAAGTATCTGGCTAGTCCAGCAGCTTATTCCTTTCTGGGTTCCAGGACTCCTGTCCTGTTCTGCTTAGAATCACCTTTCTATGAACAGTCAGATGAATCCTTTCCCTAGAGTTCTGTTATCACAGTGTCTGAGGGACACAGAGCTAGGACTTCACAGGCCTAAAGCACAAGTTAGATGACTCTTTTCTGTGCTTGCTTGTTAACAATTGTGTATGGGACAAAAGTCAATAATTTATTTAGTCAATCAGTATTTATTAAATCTCTACTATGTGCCAGGCAATATTCTAGACACTTGGAAAGCAGCCACAAACAAAATAAGGATATGACAAAGATTTTGGTCAGAGGCTCGCTCCATTGTAATATACTGCCTCAAGGTTGTGTAGGAGGATACTTGAAGTTCTAATCTACCACTAATAATCAGGGTTACCAACATCTCCCTAAAGGTGCCCATTAACCACAAATGGTCAAATCAACTTGTTTCCCAACAAGCCACCATGAAAAAATGTTGACGTGAGAATCATTCGTACTGGAATGGACAGGCCTCAAACTTCTCATAGACCCTTAAGAGAGCTCTGATCCTTGGGGAGGATGGGAGATATGCTGTCTGCAATACCCACTGCAAACTCTGAAAAATGCCCATTCCTTTATCATTTCTTTCTATAGTTCTTTTTCTCCACGTAGACAGCATGAATGGAAACGTCAGTTGTAATGGAAATGTCAGACTGACACAAAATGCTAATGATTTGAGTTGGTCCACACACAAACCTCACTGGTAAAACCCAGTGAGGCCTTCTGTTGGAAGCAGAGTAGATGGTAGATAATGGGATCAGGATTCTGACACTGTTCTTGGGCTTGTTTCACCACTAGCACTCTTCTCCTGGTGCTTCCATTGCCTATGAAATTATTTTATTTTGTCTTCAAAAGCCTGTACTTCAGCTTTCCTTTATTGTAGTTCAAAACTTTCCTCCAGAGTCTTTGTTTTTCTTTTTTTCTTTTTTGTAGCCTTCAGCACAAAAAATAATATACTGCAAACCTTCAGCATGGTCATAAGTAAATTAATCAACAGAAAAACCAAATTCCATTAAAAGGCTATTTACCTTTTTAATCATGACATATCCAGCATTGGTTTGGGGATCTGTCTCAATCCCTAGTCGCCCTTCATTGTCTCCCTGTATAATACGATACAGGATTTTAGAACTCCCAGTAAATGGCTCATCATCATCAGTGGCCTGGATGGTTAAGATGACAGACCCAACAACTGCGTCTTCAGAGAGAGTTAGGTTTCCATACTAAGAAGGAAACAGGGGAAGGAAATGATGAGAATGTGCATTGTCATCCAGCATAATTGCCAAGAGCTAACTTGTCTCTTTGGTTTCAGAATGGACACAAGTCAGAGTTTGCATCAATACTTACCAAGCCTGCTCTTCTTATTGATGAATATTTTGCAGTTGATTTTGACATCAGTCACACTCATAGACTGATATCCACTGTACCAAGAAATACAACATCTCAGAGAGCTACTAGATATTTTAGGATTCTAAAAGAGACCCTCCCTCCCACATCCAATAATAATTATTGTAATTATTATACTAGTGATGATATAAATTGACACTATGTATTGAGTACTTACAATGTGGCAGGTACTTTACATACATTATTTTAATAAATCCATAATCAACCAAGAAGTAGTAGTTGAGAGCCTGAACTTTATAGCCAAATGGCCTGGGTATGAATTCTAGGCTTGTCACTTATTAGCTGGGTGACTTAAAGCAAGTTACCTAATGTCTTTAAGTCTCAGTTTCTTCATCTGTCTAATGGTGGTAATAAAAATAGAACTACTCATGTATTCTGTGAGGATAGAAAGATAATGCGTGTAAAGCTTCTGAGTGCCTGGTACACAGTATGTACTCAATAAAGATAAGCAACAAGCCCTACTAAGTAGTTATATTATCTTCTCGATTTAACAGAGGAACAAAGAACTGGAGAGGTAAAACCTACTCAAGATCATATAGAATTGAGATTCAAACCCATATTTGTCCAACTTCAAAGCCTGCACTCTTAATCACTGGCCTAGACTGTATCCCATCCTCCACTCTCCCCACTGAAAATCTCCCAGATCATCTCTCTGGAAATCACAATTTTAAAGATGAAAACAGCCAGAGTCCAGGAGAGGACCACAGCAGTGAAAGCAGCAGACTCACTTTCTAGAGCCCAGTTTGCATTTCCAAGCTCTGAGACTTCCAAAGCAGGATTCTCATGCTCAATCTAAAACCACTGTCTAGATGTAATGCAAGGAAATCACAACACAAAGATGGGATCATGGAGGCTGAGAAGAAAATGGTTCTGCCTCATGTTTGTTTAGCCTCAGTGCCTGTTACACAAGTTACATTCAGTCACTCATACCTCTTATCACCCCAAAACCTCTCATAAATCATCTTCTCTTCTTTGTCATAGCCTTGTCCTTATTTTGATTTGTGAACATCCTTACAGAGCTCTGTCTCATAACTGACTTCTAACATGACATAACAATCTAGTCAAACGGGCTTCTCTCTGCTCCAGAATAAATAAATGGAGACACCCCTTCCAAGGAGTAGTGGTAAAACTGCCCCTAGTTTAAAGCCTTCATCAACAATAAGTAAACATTTTTCTTGATGTCCTCAACTGATCTTTTTTCTCCTGCTTTTTCTGCCCATGTTCCTAATTTTTGCAAATGTCTTGAACACATTTTACTTTGGCTTAAGCCAGAGATTAGTTTTTTCTTCTCTTACCCAATTATTGCAAAATGAGTTTACTAAAAATGCTTATTTGAGACCTACCAGTAATCTATTTATTGTCCTATTACACACAAAATATATAATGACAAACTGCAAGTATCCATTAAACTCCTTTCAATTTGACAAAGATTGTGGTTGCAGTTTTTAAGCAGCCCTTAGAATAAATGAACAGTTGGCAGTTTATAAACAGATGTTCCCAGATACTACAACAGTTCCTTGAAGATTTCCACTGAAAAAGGTGTCTGCATTTGTTACCAGTGCATTGACTAAGGCTACCTGTGAAGTCTGGCATTTTTCCTAACTACTGTCTGTGTCTTTATTCCAGAGTCAGGGGCAAGTAATATGAACAAAGTAAAGAAAAAACAACAGATGACAACTACTCACATCTGATTTTTCAAAGACAGGAATCTGATCATTTATATCAATAACGTTGACTTGCACATGACAGAGGGTCTTGAAATCTGAAAATCAAAGTCACGTCACAAAAATTTTCACTGAAAAATTATGCATTAAAATTAGATACCTGCAAGAAAATATTGGCCAGTGAAGTGACAGCCATAGTCACAATTTTGCCATTGATCTGCAATTTATATGGAAACGGTGTCCTCTGTTCCCCACTTGTACCTACAAGCAGGTCACCATGGGGAGGCCGAAAGAAGTCCTGAATACAGTTTCCCTGGGCTTCCTATAGCCCACCACCTTCCCCTTCTGGAGTAAGGTTCGTTTTTGAGCAAGACTGCTCCTTTTCTGTGAAGCAATCTCTTTTTTCTAACTAGAGAAACTTAAATAGCCTTCAAAGCCCAGTGTGAAACTATTATTTCAGAAAGCCTTCCCTGAGCATCCCAGGTGGCTTTTTTCTTCTCTGAACATCCCAGCATCTCCTCTGCTCCCTATGGAGGGAAGGTTTGGGGTGCCTATTTCCTCCCCTTCAAGTGAAGAAGAGAGTGGTACAATTAGTCCCCTTCAAAAGGCTTTATTGCCCAGTCTGCTGGAGGCAAAAGTGGGGAAGAGGTGGCTCATGGAACCCTGGGGAAATGACACAGGCTTTAAGGGATGGGTTTGACAATCCAAAGTCCTACTCAGAGACAGCAGATTCAACCTAGTTTTAAGATGAACATGGGGTGTGGGCGAGAATGGAGAGCTCAGGGAAATATCCAGAATAAGAAACAACATGACAGGTTCTTTGTTTGGGTCACCATTATTCTAATAACCACGATGTACTATACATAAAGATTAAGAATCTGGGTTCTAAGAGGTGATATCTCACTGATGTTTTAATTTGCATTTCTCTGGTAATTAGTGACACTGAGTATCTTCTCATATACCTATTGGCCATCTGTATGCCCTCTTTGGAGAAATATCTATTCAGGTCCTCTGCCCATTTTTCAATTGTATTGTTTTGTTTTGTTTTGTTTTGGTGTTGAGTTGTATGAGTTCTTTATAAATTTTGGATATTAACCCCTTATCAGACATATAATTGACATATCTTCTCTCATTCAGTAGGTTTTCTTTTCATTTTGTTACAGTTTCTTTTGCTGTGCAAAAGCTTTTTATTTGATGTAGTCCCATTTTTTACTTTTTCCTTTTGTATCCGTTGCCTGAGGAGATATATCAGAAAAAATATTATTAAGAGCAATGTCAGACAGTTTACTGCCTATGTTTTTTTCTAGGAGTTTAATGGTTTCAGATATTACATTTAAGTCTTTAATTCATTTTTAGTTTATTCTCATATATGGTGTAATGAAGTGGTCCAGTTTCTTTTTTTTTTCTTTTTTCTTTTTTTTTTTGCATATATCTGTCCAGTTTTCCAAACATCTTTTATTGAATAGACTTTCTTTATCCCATTATAATTCTTACCTCCTTTGCCCTAGATTAATTGACCATATAGGTGTGTGCTTATTTCTTGGCTCTATTCTGTTAGAATGGCTATCATCAATAAATCAACAAATGACAAGTGTTGGTGAGGATGTGGAGAAAAGCAAACCCTCGTACACTGTTGGTGAGACTGTAAGTTGGTGTAGTCACTATGGAAAACAGTTTGGGGGTTCCTCCAAAATTAAAACTAGAACTACCTTATGACCCAGCAATCCCTCTTCTGGGTATTTATTCAAAGAAATCCAAAACACTAATTCAAAAAGATAGATGCACCCCTGCATTTACTGCAGTATTATTTACAATAGCCAAGATATGGAAGCAACCTAAGTGCTCATCAATAGAGGATTGGATAAAGAAGTTATGGTACATTTATACAATGGAATATTAGTCAGCCATAAAAAGTACTTGGCCATAAAACACATTGCAATCCTCCCATTAGCAACAACATGGATGGACCTAAGTGAAATAAGTCAGACAGAGAAAGACAAATACCATATGATCTCACTTATATGTAGAATCTAAAAAAACAAAACAAACAAAACAGAAAGAGACTCATAAATACAGGGAACAAACTGATAGATTAGGGGGGCTGGGGAATAAATGAAAAAGGTAAATGGATTAAAAAGTACAAATTGGTAGTTACAAAATAGTCGTTGGTGTGTAAAGCATAGGGAATATAGTCAATAATATTTTAATAACTATGTATAGTACCAGGTGAGTACTAGACTAATTGGGGAGGAGCACTTTGTAAATCATATATAAATGTCTAACCACTATGCTGTATACCTGAAACTAATATAATATTAAATGTCAACTATAATTGAAAAATTAAAATTAAAAAAAAGAACTGAGGTTCTCGAAATAATACAAATTGTTAGCATTCTCTAGGTACCAGGCACTGTATTGAGTGCTTTACCTGTATTATTTCACCTTCATACTGTCTTGATGAAGTAGGTACTGTTATCATTGTCATTTAGTTCACAAATGAGGAAGCCAAGGGATAGGGATGTTAGGTAACCTGACCAAGGTCACACAACTAACTAGTGATGGAGCATAACTCAAATCTTTGTGCTCCCTTTCTCCTCTCCATCCACTTCCCACCCTCTACTCTGTATTGTGTCTAGGAGGCCTACCTTATAAACTTCATCATTGAGCACTCTGGTCCCTCTGGGTAATAGGTGAGTTCTGCCAGTGGTAGCACTGGCAGGAGATGTGAGGAAGAGCAGGAGGAGAGAGGTCTGGTATAGTTCCACACTGCCAGCAGCCTTGTCTATAGACACAGGCACAGGACTTGCTACTTCAGATAATGCTCCCTTCCCTCAACTCTTCACATCTTATGGTAGGAAGGGCCATTCATTGTGCTTCATACCTCTTGTTGGTTTCCCTTCATCTTGCCCACAACCCTCATGAATAATCCCTTCTTAAAACTTTGTTACTCCTTTTGAGGAGGGTCATCTATTTCCTTCTGGGGCCCTAAAGACTATACTCAGGCAGTCTTACACCGTAGATCATGCTCAATGCCTGGTACCTGAGGCCAGGCATGTAACCTAATAATAATCAAAGTATAAATAAGTGCATGTTGATTAAAGCTGAAGCCAGTCCCAAAACATTTGTAAACAACAAGAATGACAGAAGATTGGTAGTAGGGGCAGAGGGTGGTGTCCTAGGACCTGCACACTGGCTCCCTTCTCTGTACAAACCTCCTCTGGGCCATCAGGGGACCTCCTGGTTAAAAAGCTCTCCCTGATTTTATGTAAAACTATATTAATTACAGCCTAGTCTAATTTTCTGTAGTGCACACTTTAATGTTTAATTCTATCAACACACATGCACACATATATATTTACATATAAATATATTTTATGTTCTGGCTCATATTTTTTATAGATGTATCTGTATACATAGACAATTTGTAATATGATTTCTACTTTAGGCTTTTACAGTCTTAAATTGCTTCATCTTCCTATGCATTTGAAAATGGGAGTTTTTTCTCCTCTGTAAACGCTATACTATTTTGTAACTTATCATATTCATCCTTCAAAACTCAGCTCAATGTCCTCTCTTCTAGAAAGCCCTACCTATTCTATTCCTATTCATTTCTTTCATGGGCAACCTGTACATGCATCTTGCATTTTGTTTACTCACATATCTACCTCCTCTATCATAAGTGCTCTCTGAGAACAGACATTGGATTTTACTCATAGGTGTATCAATACCTTGAATAGTGCCTCCAATACTGTAAACTCCCAATAACTGTTTGCTAAAAGAATGGAAGGCTGATGGTATGAGATTGTTAATTCATCATGGTTTATTATACTTATCACTTTTGTTGTACCTTTTTACCATAACACTAGACAAATGTTAGAACCTCAATATTAGTCAAATTACTAACTCTCGAAAATTCAGCACTGGGGGCCTATTAAACCCCAGTTCACTCCAGTATTTCAACATCTGTGTAAAGGAAAAGAATGTGAAGCACAGTGTGAAAATTATGCCCCTTTCTTCTCCATACCTATATAATTTGTGCCATACCTATATAATTTGTTCCTCCCAAGTGTTATACACTTACTGAACTGTTTGTTACGCACTTACTGAATTATTTGTTAATCTAAGATGCAGTTTTAGTTAACCTAGTTCTTAACCTAGGAGTGTGTGTCTCTTTAAAATAAGCCTGTTTCCAAATACATGTGTCTGTGCACATTTGTCTGAGAATGTGTGCATTTGTTTAAGAATGCATGGTTTTCATAAGATTTTCAAAGGATCTTTTGATACAACAAAAGTCAAGAATCACTTGCTTTGAAATTACATAATGAGTAGGGAAGAAAATCTCCTAATATTATCAAATGGCCAACTAGAAGAAAATAGGAAAAGATAGAACTTCCCAAAGATGCATTTTTCCTCCATTTTCATGGGGTAGAATCCTTTGAGTCCAACGAGAATTGGAAAATACAATTTTCTTGTTCATGATCATGGTGACCATGACAACATGCCTTGCTGACCTCCAACAACAGAGGGACCTTAATTGATGATGACTCCACTGCTGCACTCTGAAATCCATCACCACATATGCACTGAGGCCTTGCTTCTCATGGCTGCTCCTAGCCAGTGACTGAGGAAGGCAGGCATGCAAAGGCAGTTTCATTCTTAAATATTATAGACTCTTTCTCTGTTTAATTTTGGAGTCTTTAATGGCCTTGCCAACCTTTTTTTTTTTTGCTCAGTGGTCTATGATGCTCCCACCAGCCTTTTTTTCCTCTGTCTCCTTCACTCAGGGTCAGGCTTGTATTGTAGTCTGATGATTCTCCCAGTCTTCTCCGTATCTCTCCCATTTTTTTATCATAGACATTTCCCCTAATAAAAAAAATCCTTGTACTTTTACTCCCCTCTTAGCATCTGCTTCATGGAGGACTAGGACTAAAGCAATAATGTTGCCTAGTTGTAACTTGGACCAGCTGCCTTTGTGCTGCATGTATGTTTCACCTGAGAAGCAAGAACTCTTAAACAGCATCCTTCTGTAATATACCCAGGCATTACAGCAGCTTAACAAATCACAACTAAAATGAAAACAAATATTTTCACTCTTGACAGCAAATATGATACCAACCTTTGTCAGACACCTCTACTGTCAAATGGTACTGAGGAATGTCTTGCTTCTTCAAGGACTGCATGGCTAACTGGAACACCCCTGTGTAGGCTTGGACCAGGAAGAGTCCTTCTGTGGGAGACTTGGGGGCTTGATCCACAATTCTGTATTCTAAAAAACTGTTGATAGTGTTTGCTTCATCTGTGTCATTGGCAATAAGAGTCCCAATTTTGCTCCCTATGAAAAAGAAAAGAAGGAAATCTATCCATTACAGTCTCCCTTTAATCTAATATAAAATGGTTTCACTGAATGAGCAGGTTCCTAGAAACCACTGTAAATTAAATAGCTGACTAAAGTTATTAGATTTACTTTGATTCTTCTAACCCTCTCCATAGTATAGTGTGTTGAGTAGTATATTAGTTTTATAGGGTCACCATAGGGTACTTTAGCAACAAAAATTTATTTTCTCACAGTTTCTGAAAGCTAGAGGTCTGAGATCATGGTGTCAGCAGAGGTGGTTTCTTCTGAGATCTCTCCCCTTGGCTTGGAGATAGCTGTCATCTCCATGTGTCTTCACATGGTTATTCCTCTGTACATGCCTGTGTCCAAATTTTCTCTTCTTAGAAGAACACTATATTGGTGATAGATTCAGAATGTTGGATTAAGATTGAGTTTCTTCTATATATGTAGGCTAACAAAAGTATAAAACAATGCTCCTTTCCTTTGCCTAAGGGTGGGGGTGGTCTTACTGTTTAGCTCAATGAAATACTAAATTACTCCTTAATATGTCTATATTCTCTTGTTTGGTATCTTCTATTAGCCAGAATCTTGTGTGACTCATGTCCCCAAGTCTTAGCAATACCACCATCAATTCATTCGGATTAAGACCCATACTAATGACATCATTTTACCTTTATTTCTTTAAAGACCCTATCTCTAAACAATAGTTGCTCTTTGAGGTATTGGGGGTTAGGATTTCACCATACAAATTTAGAGAGAACATAATTCAGTCTATAACAAATAATGTCCCCCCAAAATTTAAGTTCACTCGAAAGCCCAAATATGATCTTATTTGGAAATAGGATCTTTGCAAATGTTATTAGTTAATGATCTTGAGATAAAATCATCCTAAATCTAGTGATTGGTATTCTTATAAAAAGAGAAGACACAGAGACACACACAGAGGATTAGGCCATGGGAATAATGGGGCGGAAACTAGAGTTATGCTGCCACAAGTAGCCAAGGAATGCCAAGAGGCACTGAAAGCCAGAAGAGGCAAGGAAGAATTCTCCTCTAGCTGGCACCTTGATTTCAGACTTCTAGCCTCCAAATCTGTGAGTATAAACTTCTGTTGTTTAAAGACACTAACTTTGTGGTAATTTGTTATTGTCACCCTCAGACACTAACATACAAGGCAAATGGTATAACTGAAGAAGAAGCCAACCATGGGTCACTTCTAAGCAACTTTATGGAACAATTGCAGAAACTGACTCTACCCTAAAGGTAACATAGGACAAAGAATAGGCATGCATCCTATCCTGTCTTCCTTACTGCACTTTATGGCCCTAAGTATTTTATTCCTGTGAGTGTTTCAGTCCAGGGAGTTTCAGAAGTCAGAGGCTATAAGTCAGTGCTTCACCCAGCTCTGGGTGAGGTCTGATCAGTACTATTGCTCTGTGAAGTGGGAATCACGAGTTTCTCTTCATATACCAAGAATCCCACTGTGGGACTAAAACTCGAATATATCTCATGTGTGGAGCTAGGTTTAACACCCTCTCTCCCATATCAATTGGCATCCACTGACTTATCTAGAAATCTGAAGGATTTTAACTGTGGGTGGTAGAAGGAAATACTTTTGTTATGTCTGTAATGGAACTGGACCCATGTAGACATGACTCATTATGCTGATGAAGGGAGGCATCATGAGCAATAGAGCAGATGAAAATATGTACTAGTATAGTAGCAGCTGCTATTTCTGAATCCACCACAACCAAGCCACCTTTGTGGTGTGTATATGCCCTTGTAAGAAAAGTATCTGTGTGCGGGATGAAAGTATTTTACTGAATTCTGTGATTCTTTGGTGTCAGCAGCCATACTTTGAAACTTTCCCCTCAACAAGTGAGTATAACCCAGAAGATACTGTTCTCTCACTCCACAGGAAACTTCCAGCTGTCAGAGTCACCATGAAGCTGTTGACATAAGTGACTATGGAAATTCCGCTGGGGGATGTTACTCACTGTGAGTATAGAACTTTGTGGATGAGCCAGAAGTGAAAGGAGTGCCAAAGGCCAGGAACAAGTGGCAGCTCAAAATGACTTGGAGGTGTCATAGCACCTCTTGGGGCACTCAGAAATACTTTATGAAAGACTAAATGTCCTGGATAAACACATAAAATTTGGTAGGAAATAGGATTCCAAAATTAATGTTAGCATTGCTAAGACTTGAAGAAATGAGTCTCATGAGATTTTGGCTAATAGAAGACACCAAACAGGAGAATATAGACATATTAAGGAATAATTTAGTATTTTATTGAGCTAAACAGTAAGCCCCCTAAAGGACAGGGACATTGTTTTGTATCTTTGTTAGCCTACATATATAGAATAGATTCAATTTGTGTTGATTTATAAGGATTCCTGGTCCACTAAGTCCATTCAAGACTTTGAAATATTGTTACAAAATAAATTCTCACTTTTAGAGAGGCAAATAGCATAAACAATTTATTTTACCAGAACAATTTATTCTACCAATAATGACTTTCTCACCAGTCTCAGAAAACTAATATGGCAGGCAGCCTCTAAAATGGCTCCCAACAACCCCTCGCCCTTATATTGATCCCTGATGTAATCTCCTCTTTTTGAGTGTGTGCTGGGTCTAGTGACTCACTTCTAATAAATAAAATATGAAAAATGTGATAGGATGTCACTTCCAAGATTAGGTAATAAAAAGACTGACTTCCATCCACTCGACATTTTCTTAGTGCACTCTCTCTCCTTCTCTCTCTGAACTCTTCCTCTGAATCAAAGGCACCCAGCTAGCTGCAACCAGGTTCCTGATTCACAGAAACTGTGAGATAATAAATATTTGTTATTTTAAACTGCTAAATTTGGGGGCAATTTGTTATGCAGCAATACACAACTAATACTAAATGTTAGGCTATATGCAAAGAGACTTGAGGTTTCATCTAGAAAGGTCTTCAGAGGTCTTTTGCCTTCATTCGTCATCTTAGACCATCCTAGATTTCCAAAAACAGTCATGCTACAAGTATTTCTTGGCTATTGTCACACATTCCATTGTCGTTAGAAAATTCCTTCTTAAAATTAACTAAAATTCTTCAAGTTGCCATTTAACACTTTCTGTTGTAGCAAGAATTGGAATAAATGAAAATAAGAAGACCTAAGCAAAACACACTGACAACAGGTAGCCTACGTATGACTCCTGACAGCAAGAAGAAAGAAATAAGCATTGAGCAAGCAAGCCACACAGGCAATGCTTATCAAGCTTCCAAGACACTACCCACTGTGTTAAAAGTATGCGGCAAGAAGAATAGAGAGACCAAAAGAAAATAATGAGAAGATCCACAGGCATGTGAGGATCTTCCCAGAGGGCAGCAAAGCCCTGGGAATGGTAGTCATACAAGGCTGCTAACCTTGTAAAGCCTCTAAAACTCATATGAAACAACAAATAAAACATTTCAAGAAATGCCAACCTGCTCAGCCAATATGCTCAACACCAATAGGTAATAGATAAGAGTGTTCCCAAATCCAGGGAAGTCATAAAACTCCCAGAAATCATAATGTTCTCATGGTAAGAGTCCTTATATGAATATAAAGCTATCATGAGATATAGTAAAGGAAACATAGCAAGTTAAGAACAAAAGGACAAAAATAGATAGGACTATATCGTCAGCTTCCTAGATAGAAAGCATCAAGGGTCAAAAGTCAATTTCCATTTGTCATGCTTACTTACTACAGGGTATCTGACATTGAGTATAAATGATGATTTAAATTATTTAGCAAATTTAATGAAATTTTATCTGTTACTGAGTTTGTTAGAGAGCAAATAAGAATCTATGGGAAAATTTTGCAAATGAGATAACCTTATATATGTATACAGGATACTAGTGTAAGTGGAAAGA